GCAAGAGTACCAACTGACATCCAATCCTTGTGATGGTACTTCTTGTGACCCAGAACTTCGTGTCATGTTGAAGTGATTGCCTCCTTGATCCCTTTCCAATTGTTCTCCAATGTTGCTTCCTCTCCGGTGAGTATATCGTGCAAGGCCTGGAAACTATTGGCGAGGGCTATCTTGAATTCGTTGAGGTTCACGGTATCCCGAAGAAAGGCTGTAATAATCTTGTGTGGTGCATCATATTCACACAATGAAATTATTAGTAATGCTGTTATTATCTCTATCGTCAAGATGAATCTCTTCTAGGAGAAATCATATTTACACAATCTATTGTACTGATTACCAATTGGCACCACCTATTATCCATTCTGATATTCATAAATGACCTTTCTAATTTACAACTAACTTTATCATGCTTCAGTGTGTTGTGGTTGAAAATATTGATTGAAATGGAAAACTCCAGTAAATTAAGGGTGTGTGTACACCGTTTCACGTAAAGTCTTGTAAATTTTTTCTTTCACAATGTGGTCACATTTTGACAATTCAATGAATATTGACAGGTAAAAAATTATAAGACCAATCAATTAACCAACATTCTGATTGATAAGCTAATCTGAACCAAAAAAAATTTAAATGAACCAAATGAATAGAGTACAACATTCTTGTAGATTTTTTCAAGAAAACATATAACGTTTTGAATATTTTGTCCATGTACAAAGATATCATTGTTGATAGATAGAACTATGAAAATCATTTCCATTACATTAGTAGGTTTAATGATAATCAAACAAATGATGCTTTCTAGAAACGGGTAGAAAAAGTTTGCAGGATGAGGATCTGATGGACTCATGATTATCAAACTAACTATTCAATCACAGAGGGAACGGTTTGTAACGAATGTCATCAGATTCTGCGCCACCACCAATAACAGCAGGCAAGATGATGAAAATCAGTTCTACGAGAGGAGCAGTAGATGGTATAGAAATTCCCAGGGATCGGTACGATAATCCAGACCGCGGAGCTGAACATCACTGTCTGAATGAACAGCCTTGTGAATGAAGATGTCATTGGATCATGTGGACTGCGAGTGAAAATAGACTCGTTGAACTATGCATTTTCCACAGCATGGTTGGAAATGGAACTAATTTCTATCACAAACACATATTCAAAGCTGTATGAATTTAATCGGACTATAATTAAGAGAACCGGGTCGATCACAGACCACAATCACAAAAATTCCAGAAGAATTCATGGGGAAGGTAAGAACAAAGAAATTAGCAAATATGAATAAAGATCAATAAGTGAGAGTGGTCAAGATGCAACTGGAACTCGATAAGTACCGTACCCATGGCGATCAAAGTAAATGTGAAAACTATAGAGGAATCAATCTATTATTACTACAAGGAAAAGTCTTCAACATAGTGTTGTTAAACCGGATGAAATATTCAGTAGATGCCTAACTACAAGTTCAGCAGGTTGAATTCCGTAAGGACCGATTATGTACCGATCTAATGGTATGCAACATCGAAGACCTGAACATCACTGTCTGAGTGAACAGCACTGTTTATGAAGATGTAATTGGATTATATGGACTGTAAGTGGAAAGAGACTGTTTGACTTATGTATTTTTCACAGCTTGCTTGCAAATGGAACCAGTTTATACCACCAACACATATACAAAGCTATATGAGTTTAATCCGACTATGAGAGGAAGAACCGGGTCGATCACATCCACAATCATAAAAATTCCAGAGGATTCATAGAGAATTTAAGGACTAAGAGAGGAGCCAGTATGAATAAAGATCAATAATTAATAGCGGCCAAGATGCAACTGGAACTAGATAATAACCTTACCAATGCCGATCATAATAAATGTGAAAACTATAGAGGAATCAATCTATTATTAATATAAGGAAAAGTCTTCAACATAGTGTTATTAAACCGAACGAAAGATTCGCTAGATGCACAACTGCAAATTCAGCAGGGTGAATTCAAAGGACCGATTGTGTACCAATCTAATGGTACGCAACACCGAACAGTCAATTTAAATGAACTCACCACTGCACATCATCTGTCTTGATTACAAGAAAGCATTTGACGGCGTAGACAGCAAGATATTATAACGACACAGTCGACAGATCATAGAGCAGTTCCATGTGAAAACAGGTGTCAGATAAGGTTGCTTATTATCATCATATCTCTCTATCCCAGTGGTTGGCTGCATCAAGAAGACATCAACATCTCAGTGGAAGCATGGAATACATCAGATGCAGCTGGACGATTTGGAATCCTTCCCAATCACACAAACAAAGACAGAGGAAGAAGGCGAGTCTAGCTGCAGCCTCTGCATACACAAGGGAAAAATCAAGATCCTTCCATACACATAACATGCAGGAAGCAAATCACACTTGATGGAGAAGTTCTTAAATATGTGGAAACCTTTACACACCTGGTCAGCATCATTGATAAACAAGGTGGATCTGATACTGATGTAATGTTGGGGAACTGCGAAAGCCATCATCCACAAGATGCAGGTGTTCAATAACAGTAGTTTACATAATAAACTAGTATTCGATTGGTCAGACACCATCAACAACAACTTACTGTGGGCAAGAACAAACCAGATTTCATCGGAAGAAGAAATTAGGAGAAATCGCTGAAGGTGAAAATCATATTTGATTTACAACGACGCATCAAAAAATTGCTGTCTAAATTTAGTCTGATTTTGTAATATGTCAAACTTGAATCAAAATTTGTCATGTCATAAAATGAAAACACTCAATTTGCGTTGTGCTCAACACAATGAGGTTTTATTTTTCATAACACTATACATAAATATTCATCATTACAATGGGATAACATGTAATTAAAACTTGTCATCGAAACTGAACTTCGAATAAAATTGGAAATACTCCCATCAGAGAATTTGTTTATATCAAAATGTGCCCTGTTTGAATTATTATTTCAAATAATATTGATTGTACCTAATCCTAAAATAGAATGACACGCATAGAAAAACAAAATTAGTAAGCGTTAGTGAAAGTTAAGACATGTCAGCGTGTTGAATTGTGCGCATTTGATTTCCATCAGTTGATAAGCAAAGAAAAACTCAGAATAATTAGACACTCAATACTTTCTCACTTATCAAATGACACAAGACAATAATTCGACAATAAATGAGACGTTCTTAAGTTTTCTCTAGTATCCCACTGAATGCATCACATAATTCGCTAATTCGACCTTTGCAAACTAGTGAAGATAGATGTGTGAATCTGTGTTTACAAATCAAACCCTTGTGTCTAACTACTATTTGTACTATTGTGGTCAAGTTTCGTTCAGTAAGTTGGATGTTTTGTTTGTGGAACTTTCATTGTTCTTCTAAACAACATCATCAGCACAAACTTCAGATGATGTGGTTCAGAAGAACAATGAAAGCTCTACAATCAAATCATCCAGAACACAGAACGAAACTTCGTAACAGTCACACACCTGTGCAACAAATTTTCTCCACAATCTCAATATTTGTACCGAATTTCAACCAACTATATGGTCAGATAGGATTAAAACACAACTTTAGTTCTCCGCAATTTCTCCATATAAAGATTTAAGTAAACAACGATTTAATATCGTAGTAGTCAGTCAGTCAGTCGGATGAAACGTAGAACTTCGTACGTAAGTACACCAGTTTATGTTGCCATACCACATCAGCACAGAGATATAATTGTTAATTCAAATCCAATAGTAGAAGAGGTAGTAAAGGTATTAGAAGTAATCGGAGAGGTTAGGATTAGAAGATATTATTCAAGAAGTAGGATTCAGGGAGAAAAGTTTAGAAAGTCAAAACTAGGGGGGTTGAAGAATCTAGAAGACTAGGATTTGAGAAAACACAAAGAATAAATGCACTGGCGCCAGTGCGAACGATTTTGAGTCATGTGATTCAAGGTATCTAACCATCGATTATTATCATCTCGCGGACCCAAACCAAGTAGTCGACAACTACCGACGTGGCTAAGTTCACTCGTCAATGACTTCATGGATTTCTGCCATGTTTTGGTTTGGCCGCCCCTAACTTTCTTCCAACCTATTCCTACACTACAAAACAAAGCTCGACGAGGCATTCGGTGGTTAGGCATACGCAGCACATGTCCCAACCACCTCAACTGATGAAGTTTCATTACTTCATCTATTGATTTGCCATTCTTACCTAGCACCCGTTTCCTAATAACAGCGTTGCTCACTCGGGTGTCCCACGATATACGAGCAATGCTTCGAAGACACCTATGATCGAAAACCAGTACCCTACGAAATATCGTAGCAGAATAACATGAGTGGATTCTCTTCTTAACTGCTTACTACAATCTAAAATCATAGTGTTACTCATGAAAATGAAACAGGTGTACAGATGATACTTTATATCAGAATTATCAAGAATAATCTGAGTTCAAATATGGCGGAGTTAACTAATATCAACAGGTCATGCAAGGGGAAGAAGTAACAACTTTGACAATTGATTCTTTTTGTGATAAGTGAATTCAATCAATATCTTTTTATTAAAATAAACTTCAGTTAACGTGTATCCTGAAAAAGGAGACAGTTATTGTTGGGGCTGTCAGATCCCCAGAACTCGCTTGATAAATGCCTTATATTGGTTTTCACGTTTGCCAGCATGTACTGATCAGTTGACATTGAGATTTCATTTTCCACCAGGAAAATCCATGACTGTAATTGGCTACTATACTAGTGCTATATTAGTGCGCTATTTTCGTAACTGTCCTAAGGACGTTTCTATGATGTATAAATAAACGAGAGTTGTGTGCTTGATTGTATTGAGTGATTGCTTGATGTTGTAGAATATACTTTCTACGCTTACAAAGCCTTTTCTCTTCAGTTTGGGATTCAAGGTAGCCTACCTGGACGCTGGTTCCTTTTCTCGTTCGCGTTTATCGACTAAGGTGAACTCGTAATCGCTTCAAGCGCACCTAGTGACGAACATAAAAGTTATCAATTCAATTCATCAAATCAATAAAATTTACACAAACATAGATTGATTGATTATTTTTTTCGCACAAAATACGCTTACGTTTGTTATGTAAAAATACTATGAAAGCAATGCACAACACTCCAGCGATCAATAAAAATGGCATTAACCATGCGATGGTAAAACGACGAAACTCCATATTCACATTCATTGTGTGACTAGCTAGTAGCATCTGCTGTTTTTGTGCACTGGTGCTGAGTGTTGAAATAGTAGTTGGTTTAGTGGAATGGTTCGTCGATTCTTCCTTAATCATCTCTGTAGGGGATGTTGGTTTAGTGCTAGGAATACTCGACGAAGTCATGAACAATTCCTCTGTAAACACATTAGTCCATTCGTTACAATTCTGGAAAATAATTAATGAGTAAAAATATGAAATGACATGTAGTGAATGGTTTATTTTTGTGTCATCTAATTGTAAATATCAAAAAAAGATGGCGGAAATTGCTTATTTAAAACAATGTCAATTCATTTTGAAAATATTAAATGCATAAACCCGAACGATGAATTTGTTTCGTCATACGACTCTCGGATCAATGTCAATCAACTGCGATTAGGTGTAATTAGTTCATTTTTACGATGGATTCATCACATATTTTCAATTAGAGTTATAGAAACTAGTGTTTTTACACATTTGAATTCAATCGATCATTATTAGACCACCATTAGAAAACTGGAAACACTGGACTGCCGTTTCGCCCTGATATGGGACTCATCAGCAGTGCGTATCCACGACTCCGGCACCTCGCAGGATTCGAACCCAGGACCTTCGATTACATGCGCGAACGCCTAACCGTTGGACCACTGGGTCGGCATCTAAAACTGTTAATGTCTAACTCTGATTGATTAGACAATAACATCGTTAGATGCTGACCCATATCAGGACGAAACGGCCGTCCAGTGCTTCCAGGTTTCTAATGGTGGTCTAACAATGATTGATTGGTGATTTCAAATGTGTAAGAATTCATCAGAATTAATTATTTTCATGAAAGAGATATAAACATTGATATGTTTTACTGAAATCATGAGTTAATCATTGTTGGACCATCAGAAACGTAGAAGCATTGAACGGGCAGATGACTCATTGTAAGTATGCTCTACGACTCACACACGCAATAATTGAAGCATGGGCCTTACGTTTCGCACACAAACGGCTAATCTCTACACCTCAAGACTAAAGAATACATTACTTCGACAAATGTTGACAGGTCGAACAGAACTAGAAAGGAAGACCAAGGACAAAGTAGATTGTAGGATCCTTGTCGATGGCCTATGCTCCACCAAGGGTAACAGGCGTAAGTAAGTAGGCATATATAGGAAATTGTTTAACTTACTATATTCTTGGTTAACCGAAAAGCCTACTGCACATGCACGCCGCTGCTTTTTAGGTAACACAAGGATTCTCACGAAAGCCAATTTTGCTCTCAACTCTGCCCCATACGGGAATGCACATGTTGTCTAGATTGGTCTGCAGACAAGTGGACGTCCAGAAAGCACGCACACGAGAAATGGCTCCCGTTCGGGAACTTATGAATCAACTCGATCCCTCCAACCAATCCACTACCCACAATCCACAATCGGCAAGAGCGGCAAGGCGGGCTTACCCATCTGGACGTGGCACTCCGAAGCGGATTACCGAGCCACCCTGCAGTGTACTAACCAGCAACCGTTCTAACCGCCTTGCGCCGATACAATCAATCAGAGCCCCCAAACTCCACATGAAGCTAAAGATCGAGTTTTTCCCACATGGTTAGCCGAAAGCACTCAGCGAAGCAGAGTTAATCCCACTACATAAGTGGGCGGACATCATTGGCGTTCAGTACCCTTTCAGCACCGGATCATATAACCCAACTAGAGACCCTTGTTTAAGGGGCATCTATGAAAGTTGACACAATAAACCTACACGCAGCATATTTGGGACAGACACATACGATCGGCGTCAGTAGTCCAGGATCTTTACGGCTGCTTCCCCAAACAAATCATCCAGGGTCGCCTTCAAGAAAACTGGAAAGCAGTATCCAATTATTTCAAATTTACCTACGCTCAGTGGACGGGATTCAGACGTAAAGACGTTCGGTCCTAATCCCCCAGATTGGCAAAACCGCATCCACGGCCTTGCCACCATGAACACGTGCCATTATTCTGGGCCATACCAGGCACAGCATCCTAAGAATTCGAAACGGCCTTTAGCAGCAGCGCCGTAAAAAACGTCACGTTGTCTGGCCACCACAACACCCAGAAGGCTCCATTTATGCAAGTCATCTAATATACCTATTCAGTTAGATGACGAGGCATTTGACTACATTCACAGAGTCATAGTTACTCTCACCTTACTTACTATGGACTAATTAAGTAAATAATTAAATCTAATCAAATAATTTGAAATGTGTAGAAATTCACTCAATCTATTTTTTTGTTTTGTTTATAAGGTCATAAATTTACTTACTGTAACTCCACAATATTTACTATTATTTAGCCAACAATCTAAAGAACTATGCACTTTTGCATATTGTTGACAATGTACATCTTGTATCATGTTATTAGAATCTGTTTCATTGCAGGCTATAATAATGAAAATGAAATAAACTTATTTGTGTTAGAATAAGACTGACAATGTTAACGATTATACATGAAGAAAATGTCAATAGAAACAATTAGCATTCCAGATTGTTTCATCAATTTAAGATGATTAGAATCTATGGTTTATTGATCGATCGATTGATCATGGAATGGCTCAATGTATGTTCTTTGAACAGCTGTTATGTAAGGTTACTACTTTATTGTAGGCTACGATTTTACTTTCAATTTGTTTTCACTTGAACTACTCTTTCGCTCTCTCTGCCTCTCTGATTCATACATTCTTGTTTGGAAACCATTATATGAATGATGAAGTAGGTACTTACTTACCTAACTACTTACCTATTTACTTACTTACTTACTTACTTACTTACTTACTTACTTACTTACTTACTTACTTATCTAATTACCTACTGATAGCCAATCCTTCTCCTCTATCCCAGTTCAGGATCAGCTATGACTTCAGATGGGGTCCAGTCAGAGTAATAAATTAAGTGAATAAACTTTAAATTATCACATATTAACACGGTAAGATGCTAGAGCTCATTTTAAATATTCATGGAAGTTCTCAAATATTCGACACATCGTATGCTACATAAGTAATGATGCCGGTTAACTCTCTTGGACTAAAGATCAATGACCAGTAATTTCCAACCTACACTGTTCTGCGACTTCTTTTTCAGTTCTACTCAAATGCTGTTCATTCTTTCTACGTCTGTCTACTATTCTCATAGCACTGTGTTTCTTGGTCAACCAATTTTCCTTTCGCCACTCGGATTCCAAATTACAACTTGCCTTGTGATGCAGTTGAGTGATCCGCGAAATGTGTCCTATTCACTGCCTGCACATATTACTCATTTCTTCCTCAGTTTGAATCTGATGTGTTCTATCCTACAGCAGTTTGTCGCTGATGGTTTCTGACCAGCTGTTGAGGAGTATCTTGTGTGGACAACTGTTAATAAACACCTATATCTATGGATGATGGCTTGCATAGTTCTCTAACTATTCGCTGCATACAATAGAACTATGTTCACTTTCTTATATCAAGTTGTGAGTTTGGTGTTGGTTGGTAGATGTTTTGATTTCTAGAGGTTTTTTTATTGTAGAAATGTTGACCTTGTATTGTCCATCTGTATGCTCACATATACATCCTCTTTATTCATTTATTTACTAGACTGTGTTACTCCTAATGGAACATGGGACACCGACCAGCATCTAATTAGAGAGGAAATCAGGAACAAACCGTAGGTCGATAGAAAACTCTTTGGAGAAATCACCAAGCTGGATGACGAGATAATCCGTAATTTGGGATCCGAAAGTCGAAAGGAAAGAAGAAAACCAAAGAACACATTCAGATGTGAACTGGGGACAGGGATCAAAAGAATGAATAACACTTAATAAGACCTGGAAAAGAGAGCTTCTGACAGAGTTGACTGATGATTACTCGTCGTTGATGTAATCAACCACAATGGTTCACAGGCATACGTAAATTCATGTGTACATACAGATCATTTGAAATTCTAAACAAAATTATTTTCGAAAACTCTGAAAATGTTTTGCTTACCTGGAAGTGGTCTGTACTCGACTAATGTTCTAGATTTCACAGCCCTTGATGGAATTTTTAGTTCAGTACGATTTTCTCCAGTGTCATCATATATTACTTGTATTGAAAATAGAAAGTAGCATAATTAACATTAACAAGTCAATTAGTTAAATCTTATGAAATCTAGGTGTTATGACACGAAATCAAGAAAAGTTGATTGAAAACTGGTAAGACCAGTAAAAATAAGTCAATTCATATAATTTGATAACATAGTATTACTACTAATCATTCAAAAGTTTGATTACTTAAAGGTATTTCGTATAATTAAACCGAATCGACGGTGATTAGTAAAGGAACAGCAACTGAGGAGAACTTGAAACGAAGTCTTAGGACGGATCTAAGCTGGAGAAAGCTGGTCGATGGCCTATGCTCAATGAAATATAACTTAGTTACTTACTTACGCCTGTTAACCCAAATGGAGCATAGGCCGCTCACCACTTTTCTCCAACCAACTCTGTTCTGGTCTTCCTTCTCCAGTTCTGTCCAATGTTTGTTCATTCCTCTCATATCTTTCTCTATTTCTCGGCGTAATATGTTCATTGGCCTTCCTCTTTTCCTTTTGCCTTGAGGGTTCCATGTAAGGGCTTGTCTTGTGACGCAGTTAGGTGCTTTTCGTAATGTGTGTCCTATCCACTTCCACCGCTTCTTCCTGATTTCCTCCTCCACTGCAATCTGGTTTGTTTTCTCCCACAGTACGTTGTTGCTGATCGTGTCTGGTCAACGAATCCGAAGTATTTTCGTAGTCCTCTGTTAATGAACACTTGTATCTTGTGGATGATGGCTTTGGTAGTTTTCCAAGTTTCCGCTCCATACAGTAGAACTGTCTTGACATTTGTATGGAAAATCCTGATTTTGATTTTGGTTGAAAGTTGTTTGGAGTTCCAGATATTTTTCAGTTGTAGAAATGCAGCCCTCACTTTGCCAATCTGCGCCCTTACATCTGCATCGGATCCACCTTTCTCGTCGAAATGAAAGATAACAGGCGTAAGTAAGTGGGTAAGTTAGTGAGTCGACGACAGTATCTTCTAGCAGTTATAAGAGAATAGTTCAGTATTAATAGAGTAATATCTCACACATGAATACTTGACTACTTACGCTTGTTGAGCTGCTGACCAGCATTCTCTAACCTATTCTGTTTTGAGCCTTTCTTTAATAGTTCTATCCACCTGTTGTTCGTTCTTCTCATATTGATCTCTAATATTCGACATAATGTATTCTCTTGTCTTCCTTATTTCCTTTTGTCATGAGGGTTTCACGCTAGGGTTTGCTTTGAGACGAAGTTGGGTGCTTTCTAAAATGTGTATCCTATTCACCTCTAACACATTTTCCTGATTACGGTTTTTAATTAAAATCTAGTTTGTTGTTTTTCGCAGTAGGGATCACTGATATCTAACTTAAACAACTGTTAACAAACATCTGTATATTTCGGATGATGGCTTTCTTGGTACTCCAACTTTCTACTACAAACAATAGAATGGTTTTGATATTTGCACTAAAAATCACGACTTAGGTTTTAGTTGATGGTTGTTTTTAGTTATAAAAGTGTACTTCAACCATAGAAATGTTGAACTTGCTTCGTTAATCTGTGTCTTTCCATCAGCATCAAATTCAGGTATGTGAAGGTTTCCTGATTTTTGAAAACATCTAAATCAGAAGTGATTTGAATGGTACATGTTGAATGAATTGGAGGATCTCGCTTTTTTCCTCGAGTATGTTCAGACCTACTGTAGCTGAGGCTGCTGCTACACTGGTCGTGTTCTCGTGGGGTAGAAGAGCCAGATCATCTGCGAGGTCTCGATCGTCTAACTGAATCAAGTTGTCGGCTGTCTTCATAATCCAATCAACCATCGAAATAAAACGAAAGAATGAAATTAAGCAACTTGCTCAACACTGGTCTATCCGTGGAACCAGTATATGAGTTGTCTCCCATGTACGATCTTACAGTGTAATCCATCACTAAAATGCCGTAGGATGTTGACTATCTTCTGAAGTACTTCATACTATGAAAAAAGCCTATCCACGCATTTAAATGCTATCTCATAACCGAGGATACTGGTGTTCAAGGTGAATTATATTCGAATGATTGTTTCACAATGATTTGTAGTGTCGCGCCATTCAGTAGGCATATCAACGATCTTATACGGAATCCAGCCTGTTGTTCTTGAAGTTGAGGGTATACAATATATCTTAAATACTATTCAACAGCACTCGGTTGAAAACTTTCCCTGTTATTGAGAATAGATTGTTGCCTCTGTAGCAACATAATCAAATACTTCACTAGATATGATGTCTTCACGATTCAATGAACAAATTATCTCCTTTCATGAGTTCAAAATAACTCACAACCGGCATCTAGAAAATTATCATGTGCTTACTGTTGACTAGATCCGTGAGGCGATTCCCTGGAGCTCTGGTGAGAAACTGTGTGACCGGTGGAGTTCAGGCTTGTTTGGGTGTGAAGCAGTGTCCATCAGAGACAATCGATGAGATGGCGCAAGAGAGTGGATTAATCAAAGTTATTTATGTATATACATATATTTGTATCAATACAAAATGAGCTTACATTTATCGTCTTTTATTAAAAAAATCGCATATCGAAACATCAAATCTTCCAATTTATTTTCAAATGCATCCGGAACCTATAAAATAGTGTAGATTTTTAAAAATCATTGAATCCTATCTCTGATATCTACCATTAGTGTAAAAGAGATAATAAAAGTTGGATAAATGGCCACCTCAGGTAAAAAAATCATCCCACCTCTAACAAAGGTTACCAATACCCTTCCCTTCTTGAACTTGTACTAACCTGATATGAAGATTCATAAGCATTCAGTTTACTGTTCAATAAATGTTGCTGAGTCCATTATTAAAACGGCTAACCGTCCGATAGTTTATCCAGGTAATTACATAAAGATCTATTCTATCTTTTAATAAGATTTCTAGTCATCTAGGGTTGTTAATTGATAATCAGTAGTTTATTGATAATTTCTAGTGATCATTGAATGAGGGGAAAAAACACAACGTTATTTTTACTAAACTAAATAAATCCTGCGTTGTACGACATTCGATTGTAAGTCTCATTCACAAGCTTCCTAAACATAAGTTAAGATAGTCATTTCAGTGAAAAGATCAACAGTGAGAAAAGAAGCTTTACAGACTTAGACTACGTCAAGCAATGTATATTTATATATATTCACCTTAGAATTAGTATCAGACAAAAATCTACCACTGTTGAATCAATTGATGACAAGGAACAGCATACAAGAAAATTGAAGATTCACATATATTGAATAGAAACGTACACCTTGTTCAAATACTGTTTTACAAAATAGCAACAACTCAATGATCAACAAATTTAGTTGTTTATACATCATGTTCAAAAGAGAGGAGACATATTACAGCTCTTTGATTGCATGCATGTAAAACCGAAAGGAAGTACTGAATGGATGAACTTTGAAAGAATCTCTACCTCTGAAAATTCCACGAGAAGTTTTTGTCAGTCTGATCACCCAGAACTAAGTAAACAATCACTGAAAGGGTACTTGTGCTCTACAGAGAAAAACATCTCCGATATGACAAAAAGGATCAGTAAGATGGTTAGGGATTAGTGTAACGCCTACATGAAAAACAGCTAACGGTTCAACATCACATCACAACATAACGTCCATCATTTCATTGAATGCGAATAACTATGGACATTATTATTTCGATCAGCAAACATCAGAATTGACCTATTCTACCAAACTATACAATGAGGGATAAACAACTCTAAGGCCAGACGGGAAAAATAATCGTAAGTAATGTATGAAGAACAGGTGTACATCACACGATGAACAGAAACCAACCGAATTCACACTCAGCAAAATAACCAACTAATCAATTGTGAAGAAATTCGATCAACTGACTTCTTATTTCAAGTGTGTACCGATGTAGTAGTGGAGAAATTCAACACATCCGTTATAAGTTGAAGACACATTTTTCGAACAATTGTTTGAGTCTCAATCCTGACCATTTACATACGCTTATCATTGAACCATTGATTAACGTGTTCAATGTATTGGCAAATACTATTCAAACTATGAGTTTATCTGTTAGTAGTCATTGATGTTCAATGATTTAACATTTTCAAAATCTTGTCTCAATTTGAACAGAATTATTTCATTTTCTATTTGATACGATTTAAATGGACATTTTACATGGAAACACTGTTAGTGTAGCTATTGAATTCAGTTAGTTAGTCAGCTACAATGTAGAACTTCGCACTAACGTAGGCACATCAGTTCAAGTTGCCGTTACACACTAACTTAGAGAGATAAAGCTGCTAGTTCAAATCGCACAGTAGTAGAGGTTGTAGTAATACTAGCCGAAGTCGAAAACATTGTGTATCGAAACATGATTCGAGAAGCATAACACAGTGAACCCTGTTGCTTATGAAACGGCTGTAAAATCCATGAGGTTGCGCAATATCTTGGATAGATTAACGTTAGACAGTAACACTGGTTAATGCCGGTTTAGTGGTCTAGAATTTGAGCGTTCGCCTGTGAGACCGAAGTTCTCTGGTTCGATTCCCATGTGTAGGGTTGGTCCCGGATGCGCACTGCTGATGAGCCCCATACTATTTAAGAACGGCCACTCAGCACTTGCAAGTTTCTAATACTGACAGTCTAACAATGATCGATTGAGGATTTTAATGAAATTCAATCCTCCATTTCTATCGTTCAACTTACCTCATTAAAATAGATTGATATATTCCCATTGGCATATAAAATACACGATACTTCAACTGAAAAGATAGTGTATCAATAAATCGATTTGAAATATTCAATGCAATTCTGAATAATATTGATCAGTTTGAATTATTTTAAAGAAAAAAACTGTTTTCCACTCTAGAAATCTCATTTTTAAAAATAGTATCAAATATGTTGTGATATAATTTAAACATACCATCATCCGTAAATGATGTTTGACCGATCATCGGTGAATTTGTATCGATCCATTTGATTGCTAAATAGTTTTCTTGAAAATGCGAACAGTTTTGACAAGATAATTACGCATAAATCTGATTATTATAATCACAAATTAGCGATAAGAATATGATTATCATTTCAACAATATGGAACAAGATATTCAACCTGTTTTTATGTACTTAGTCTAAACTCCACTTGGAACCCTTCTAGCTAGAGTTACTATGGATTCTAATCTCGAATAACGGACAAGAGTTGGGTATGGGATAAGCAATCCACATTCATCTGTAGTAATTTCCTGAGAGGGCTATTTGTTAGGAAATTCATTAAATATCTTTAAGAAATTATTTTGTAAGTCTGATTCTATTGGTCAATATTTAAGGTCATCCTGTGCCATCAAGTTCCTATTGGTTAATATTCACCGTAGACCTAAGTGTATAAATATGTATTGTCTGTAAAGTTTTATGCTCCTCTTCTTCTTCTGTGTGAAACCTCGATTTTCTGTGTGCTTGTAGAATACACATTCTACGCCATATGAAGACATCTTCCTACAGTTAGCAAGGTCAAGGGACGCTCGGATTAGAGTAGCCTATCGTGTCACTGGATCATTTGTTTTAGCTCACGTTTACCAACTAAGGTGAACTCGTAATAGTTTCAAGAATATCAAAGTGACAAGCATAACACTATTCTATTCAACCGTAGATGTTTGTTAAGAAAAACTAGAATTTATTTGTGAAGAATTTCAGGTCAAATCTGAATCTGATCAATCTGTTTTGGCTATTTCACTGAAGGAATGTCTTGATACTATCTGTGATGACCTATTTTCAGTGTAGCCAGTAAAAGCGGTTGAAGATATGGCCGGAATTCTAATTTAGAATCTGTATACGTGCAAGAGAAGCTACCTTGTCTGTTCGCCTTCAAATTTATATTTATCAGCTGTTATAGAATAAGGTAGACAGAGCGTTAAGGAAGCGATTGCTTCCAACTAGGATACAAGACGATGTTGTTGTGTGGTTCTTCGAAAATGAGAGGAAAGTAATTAGAAGTCCGATTTTTGAACATTTAAACGATTCCAATCACTTCCCACTAATCAACAGGTTGATTTTAAGGCTGTTTATACAATCTGCTTGGATTTCTTCGCATTTAAGTGCTTAAAACAGAACAGAATCTCTTGCCTTTCCATGAAATGAAGCCAGATTTATGTGTGCGTGTGTGTGAAGAGACCTTTTCATTGAACGTTGTGTTCCAAATTTAAATTTGTTAGTCGAATGTATCCATCTATGTCGTTATATCAGTGTTAACATTGAAAATTAAATCAAATTTGTATCATCTTCTCTAAACTTACCATTATGGGATTTACTTTGTATGTGTATTCATAGTAGGCATCGCATTGAAAACTTTAATTAATTCTATCGGATATGGACTTGTCAAATTACATTCTAAAGGTACATTTTTCATTTGTAAAAACAATGTTGCACAAAACAGTTTAGTACTTAGGATAGTTCTCAATAAGTAAAATTTTAAATATTCAGAATTTGTGTCTTTTTACTAAAAAAAGGAGTAAAATGGGA